AGATAATATTCCATGATATCCTAATTACTTATTTTTAGGGAAATGTCTGCTCATAAGTATAAATAATGTATTCTTACTTTAACAATTAAAATTTTTTTAGTGAAAACTGATTTGTGGATTTAAATACCACAAACCACATACCACATTTCTGTATAACTTTTATTTTGATATGTCAAAAATTAAAAAAGTTACGGAGAATTTTCAAAATGTCCGTCCGGTTATTTTTTAACTTTGCAAGGGTATTTTTTTAATATCATAGCAGTCAAATAAAGGAATTGGATTATAGCTGCTAATAATAACTAAAGCTCAAAACATCTGTTTTCATTAGAAAAATTATTTTAAAAAATAACACTTAAAACCCAAGTATTTTTTTTCATGTCCGGGAAATTTTGCTCCAGAACTTAGGGTCGTGACGCCATAAGTAAGATGGGTCAGCAAATTGGGTAATTTTTTCTTTCTTTTTTTTAAAGTTATTACTGCTTATAAAGTAATCAAAGCAGGTATTTTCTTAATCCCAGATAAATGGGCTATTCAATTATGGTTTTAAGTCATAAATCATAAACTTACTGGGTTTGCTGTAGACATGGAAGTTTGGACGACTTTATTTACTAAAATTTAAAAATTCCAGTGAAAAATAAGTATTTTTAATTTTTTGTAGAACCATAGTATGCACTATTAAATATTTTTTTAAGTAGAGTATTTATCTGGGAATAGAAAATTATAATAAACATTATCATTTAAAGATAAAATTAATATGAAAAAAAAAATAAAATATGAAAAGTGGAAAGTTTGTTCAAAGTAGCCCCCATGTTCAAAGGTTGACGGAAACTCTGTTAACTTGAATAATGTTGTTTATTTGCTAGATTTAGTTTATATTATAGCAAAATATGACATACATAGTTCAAATATAGGCAGATATTTTTAATTTTAATCATATAATTAATAGACTCTTATTAAATGATACATTTAGGTTAATACGTACATGCTGTATGCGCCAAAACGCTTGGAAACAGTGAACCATAGTCAAGTATTTTTATCATAACTGCTGATCCCATCATCATCCCATTTTGAAATTTTTATAATGTACTTACTAGATTACATTCTTTAACATATGTAATTTTCAAATTTTTCAAAAAACACTATCTTAAATTTTTTTTTAAAACCATATTTTGAAATTTTCAAAAAAAAATAATTTTTACCAAAGTAGGTTGAGTTTGGTATCAGATTAAAGGCATTTGAATCCTCTTTAAAATGAGCCATTGTACAACTTGATAGGACCAATAGAACTCATCCTAGACAACATTTTAGATTTGCGCGCACGGTAAAAAACGCCAATTTTTACCATTTTCAAATATTTATATCATAAAAACTATAAAAGATAGATTTTTTTAAAAAGCATATTTGGATTCAGGACTCAAAATACTACAAGTATGCAAAATTTCATCAAAATCCAAGATGGTCAGGTTGAGAGCATTGTTGATTTGATATGGAATGACCCTTGGTGTTATCTTTGTTTTTTATTTTGCATTAAGAAAAACTGTAGGCCTAGACTTCTTTCCTTTTCTTGTGCATAATATGGCATTAGCGTTAACTTATATAGCGCATTTGAGTGACGCGAAGACATCAAAACGCTCTGAAGACAATTTATTTCAACACTAAAAAGAAGCTTGTTTTTCAAGGTAGGATTTTCGGTACTTTCCTGTTAAAGGGAACATTCATTATTATCGATCTGATTTCTTTCGATATATCAATATTTTTGTTTTCCTTTATGATCCATACCTTCTGTTTTAATATTTTCAAACACATTTAAATTACAAATTGACACTTTAGGCAAAACATAAATGAAGTAAAACTGTTCTAAACTAACCTAACATAACCAACCAAACTTGCTGGGTTTGCTGTATCATTTCAAAATTTCGTTTGATAACAGAATAGACATGTGAGTAATATGAAACGGAATTTGGAAATTTTACAGCAAGTTTGGTTGGTTAGGTAGGGTTAGTTTAGGACATTTTCATTTCAATATAATATTTTTAAATTGTTTGTTGATACCGAACAATATTTACTTATCGTAGTTGTCAGCTGACATCTCGTTCATTATCGGATCAAAAATAGAATATCGATGTATCGGAAAGAAATCATCGATAATAATGAATGTTCCCTTTAACAGGAAAGTACCGGATTTTCAAATTTTGCATGCTTAAGTTAGGTAGGTACCTACTAAACAAATGTGTGTAATAAAAATAAACATTATTGATAAAATATTTTTTATTCATATGCTAAGTTAGTTAAGGGTGTTTGGTCACAAATTTTCATGTCTGATTTTTTGTTATTGTTTAATTGTACTAAAAATTAGAGATACAAATATCTAAGAAAAAATTTTTATTTTGAATATTAAGCGAGATATGGAGCTTGAAAGTAGTAAATTTTTAATCTTTGGTACCAGTTCACAGGGAGAATGGGTAATGCGATTCTCACCAAAATTTGCATTCAGGTGTGGAAAAATAAGATAATAATCACTAGCTATTTAAAATTAAAAATTTTGTAAACAAATTTTTTTTTTTTTTTTTTAATTTTTTAAAAAATTAAAAAAAAAATTTAAAAAAAATTTAAAAATAGCTGTTTGTTTTTGGGAAAAATGTATCTGTATGTTGGAATGAAAAAAAATGTGATATGTTAACTCGTTTGGGCTGTGAATTCGTACCTTTGATGCCTTGCGCTGTCGGAGCACTACTCATTGAGAGTTTGTACACTAACACCGGGGCTTTAGAATACTTTAACATAACGTAATTATTAACATCCTTTAACATTGAAAGAATACGTTTATCGTTGTAAGGTTAGGATTACGAATCTAAGGATAATTGAGCGGTACTGAAGGTAATGGTAATATGGCGTGGTCTGGACGGGTCCGTACTGAGTGAAGAGTGAGGAGTGAGGACTGAGTGAGAAGAGCAAACAACTGTTTATACTTGATCTAATGCGGAATTAAATCAAATCAATTCGTTTTGAAACCAAATAATCAGTTCTTATTTAGGCATGTGAGGAAGGTAGGTCGGGTTTTATGCGGATTCGTGACTGTATTATTGCATGGCAACGCTGGAGGCGCTGCCTACGGATTGACAGGCAAAGCTCTCTCAAACCGCTTAATGATTTTTACCATGCGGTTGGCATTCTGGGTTATAGTAGTACGTTTTCTGTGATTAAGTGTTTTGAAGTGAGGTTAGATTAGGAAGGTAAAGGTTAGGTTATAATAAACCAACTCATTAATTTATGCAACTTCCAGACTGTTTTTGCATAAATTAATGAGTCGGTTCATTATGACCTAACCTTTAACTTACCTAATCTAACCTCACTTCAACGGACTTAATATAGTCACGAATCCGCATAAAACCCGACCTATCTTCCTCACATGCCTTTATTGACATAAAATGTGATTTAAACATTAGGTTGGATTAGATTAGATTATGTAACATCATTTATTAGTTGCTGATACATTAAATTATGCACTGTGGCACGTTTTCACTTTTAGACACAATGGGATTATGTAGCCTACTATGGGATTATGCACTATGGCACGTTCATTACCAGACGTTGAGGCATTAGTCAATGGTTGAGGATTGGAATGAGGACGATGATCATGTCGGCAGTGGTCTAGCTTCTATTACTGATATTTTACGTGAATAAATTCTATTTTTTTTTTTTAATTTATGTTCATGTGATTAATACCTAGTTTATGTATGGTAGTTGATTTATTGTATTTTATAAACAGCGCCAAAGTCCATTTTTTTTTTTTTTTAATCTAGTTAAGTTATTGCATATTGTAACTCTGATTTTGCTCTCTTGGGGTCGTCTGTGGTTTTGTCTGTTTAGTATAGAATGTAAACAACTGACAGCTGTTTCCACTCCACAAACCTTCCACCCCTTTTAGTGTTAGTCGCCACTAGAACTTGGACTCGTCCATACCACAAATATGTTAATAAATCAACAAAACTGAAGCTTAATATTAATTATATAACTGTACTTAGGAATCTCTCCGACCAAAACTGATTGCATTTTTGGATTCAGCGTTAAAAATACTGTAAGTAGACATATCAAAATTACATCAAATCCCAGTGCAAATAGGGTAAATATGTGTAAGTTTACACGTTTGGACCAAATAATAGCCTATGACTAAAGTTTATAAATAGGTTAGGTAGGCCTTAAGCCTAACCTAGTTTTTAAGTCAACAATGAATTCGAAGTTAGCCTAATAAAATGACAGTAGGAGATTAATTAGGCCTATGGTAAACTTCAAAGAGAATTCGAGGCAGGCACGTTGGTTTAGGTAGCCTACCAGATGTTTCCTTCAATTCCCTTCACTTAGCCTAATTACGCCTTGGGTTGCAAGCTATCTTAGGCTTATACGATACCTATATGACTATTGAAAATTCACAGACCAATGGGAAACTATTGATTTGTTTAGGCCTAGGCCTACCTACAATGCAGCCTCAAGAGATGGGCTTAAAGTGTGCATATAATATTGCCTACTGTAAGGGGTTGACCTCAAAAGCTGAAAAGAGCAAATCATAGTTCAAGCTGTCTTCTGGGTTATTTTACGTTATTCAACATACTCCCAGGCTAATTAGGCTAACACTTATTAATATGGACTCACTGACCCCACCTTAACTTTGTATTGCAGACCCTACCCTGTATAAGCATAGACTTTTAACACATCTTTTAATGACTCTTTAAGTAGTCTAATTAATAAAGTAAATTGCTTACGTTTCACTCTTTCAAAATCAGTTGAAAAAATTGAAAATTAATAAATAGAGATGTATCTAAATAACTGGACAAACTGCCACCTCAAGACCTCAAATTTAGGTCCCAAAAAGGTGTCATTGATTATGATGGAAATTTGTTTTAATCATACAAAATTTGACTCAAACACGCAAGATGTCCTTTATAGTACAAATTTCCTGACACTAAGAAAAGTGTAGTAGTAATAATAATAAATATAATTACCGTTTTGAAAGGAGGATTGGAACTCCTCAGCAAACTGTCAACGCTGTAAATTTCGGAAAGCGCCATTTAATTTAACATTGAGCCTGACTGAGCCGAATCAGTGACACCACCGCACCACGAACGAATCCACCACAACCACCACTACCCACTGAGCTATAATTCTAACTGGAGGTAGCACTGAATGTCAAAGATGCGTGTCACCAGCCGCCATGTTTGCGTGAGGTGTGAGTTATAAGAAGCCATATTATTGCTATGGCTATTATTATACTTGGCTTAAAATACCTACTTTGTATGGTCGCCATTTCAAAGAAAATTATTAAAGTATTAAAAGTATTCAAGTATGACAAAAATACTCACTGCTATACCAACCTAGTTATAAGAAGCCATGTTATTGCTATGGTAAAAAAGCTTACTGCTATACCAACCTAACAAAATCAGCGACTCGCTTTTGACAGACTTCTGCCATGGCAGTGCTACCTCCAGTTATAATTTTAGCTCAGTGCCACTACCACACCACCGGTCCCAAAAAGTAAAGACTGAAAGAGAATTTCGCTAGTCAACGAGGTTCTTTCAGCTCCCAAATGAAAGCATTGAGTAAATAAATTCTTATGAAACAGTTAGCCAAAGTTTCTTCAGTCAATAAATAAATCAATGACTTGAGGAAAGGCTAGATGTAAAAGTTGGTATTGACATATAATAGATATATGATATATATAATCCTTTTAGATTCGACTTTTAGAATATCATTGACTATCCTAAAGTTAAACCGTGTCATAGTGTCTAATAAATGCTTTCTTTATACAAAAAAGGTTCATGGGGATAACAAATATGAAACAGAATAAAATTCGTATTTATTTTGGCACTGTGCAAACTCATGATTATGGGGGTAGCGGGTTTTTATCCTCCTGGAATTTTACCCACTGGGCAAACGTGACGTCCCAAACCAGGGGGTAAAATTCCGGCCGCGAACTTTTGAGTTTCGTGACAACAGTTCGATGGATAAAACGTATATTTTCACGGTTGTGAATTTAATAAGAACATATCAAACTATAAATACCCCCACCGCAGCAAACCTGCAGACAAAGCGAATTTCCATTTGCCTGATTGGATTTACACTAAAATGTCTCCTTAAAAATATCTCAATTTATTCCCTATTTAAATAACATTAGTTTAACGAGTACTTAGGTTTGCTGCAACAGGGAGGGTAAAAAGGTGTTTTTTGTAAAATGTTAATAGCTTAGTATCAAATGAATGCATTTTCCAAATTTGATCAAAATATGTTCATAAGCAAGCAAACTACAACAGTTTACTTATTCTCCATAAGAATAACATGGGAATTTTAAATTTAAAGTTTTTTGGAATTTTCCCCGTAACCATTAGGCGCATTATAACACTTCAATATACTAAATTATTTGTTTTTTAAGCTATACAAAATGGTTTGGAAAGAAATGACTAAATTTTAAGTTTTTAGTGTCAAGAATGGGAAAAACCAATTTTTACCCCATAAAACCCCCCACATAAGGTAAACGCACCAGTAGCTGACAGTATAAGAAACTATACGCACTTAATAATCCGTGGTTTTGAATAAATAGGAACTAAAGAGATATTACGGATTTTATGTGATTCTAAATTTAGTGTAGTTTTCAAATTTGTCATACAAAAACGGGTTTTTAAATATATTTTATAACATTTTTAAACTTAATTCAACCTTTGTACATGTTCCAGTGGCTGACAGTGAAAAAAGTGCTTGTACCAGTAGCTGACAGTCAGTTGTCCCAGTAGCTGACACTGGAACTATACAATGTACTAGCTGCTAAACCTAAGGGTTTTATAATTTATAAGACAAATAAAATCTAACCTAATAATTAAATTATAAAATCATGTAAAACGTTATTAAGAAAATTTATTTTACATATTTTAAAATAAAAAATATTTACATTAAAAATATATATATATATTTTTTATTTATATTAAAAACATATATACATTTTTTTAGATAATTTGGCTTATTAATTAAAAAATTAAAATCATTTTATAAAAATTTGTGATCACATAAATTATAAATAGCATGCAAATTTCGATGGGTAAAACCAATTTAATATTGTGCAAGTAGCAAATATCCCCTGTCAGCTATTGGAACTTGTATGGCTTTTGTGTACCAAAGCCTGACATTGATATAATTTTTAATCCAAAACCCCTAACACCCCAATTTTATCATGAAATTGTCAACAAAGGTATAATTGATAAAAATAATGAGCCTAATCATTAATACTATTTAAGAAATTTAGCGAAATGACTAAAAACCAAACTTACCTTCTTAACAATTTCATTAAGGGAATCGACTAAATGTGATGTGTACAGACAGGGTCGCTTTCAAACCACCACCATTCAGCGAGTATGGGCTAAATTTCACTGATTTTTTTGTAAACAAATCAAGAATAAACATATGTTCTTCTAACAATGCAATCATGTGTAAATATTTTTAAGAGACCACATTATAATGTAAAGAAACTCAAACTGTCAGCTTCTGGAGCACTGTCAGCTACTGGTGCATTTACCTTACCCCTGTTCCCATAGTCCGATCATGCTGGTTTGCGAACTCGTTCGAATAAACGTAGGTTTAAACGTTTGTACTAAATTTCATCAAAATCGGATGATTTTTGCTCGAGTTATCGCGCTAACGGACATATATATATATGTGTATTTGAACGGATGTTGTTTTCGGTCTCTAGGGACCTCAAAACGAAAATGCAAATTGGTCCTGGATCCAGGTTTTACCATGAGTACTACGGTAAATAGCTTATTCCCTTTATGGGAAATTCGCTAAAACCTAGAGTGTACGGGCCAGAATTTTACCCCCGGACTTTTACCGTTATAGTTAATGTTTTCTTTGTTTTATATCATGCATATTTGACAATGTCACCTGTTCCTCTAGCTGCGCTAGAAATTTGGAATGTATTCCTGTGTATGTGACAATAAAGTAATATTTATTTATTTATTTGCCCCCTTCATGAGGTCAGCTCAAAATGTACGGCCCGGTTTTTTACTACCGGATTTTTACCCCCGGATTTTTACCCCCGGAATTTTACCCCCTGGTCAGATGTATAAATTAGTGATAATGGTTAATTCTCTTCATTCAGTTTTAATTTAATAGTTAACCAGTTTAGACATTTTATTGTTAATTTATTTGTAACATCAACTAATCGAATAGGTTTTAAATTTTAATTTTGAGATACGAGTATCAGGATTCGATCATTGAAGCCAACTGTTGGTTAATATGATCAAAATTAAACAGCGAATTCTGTTTACTCAGTTGAGATTACAAAATAAATAAATAAAGATAGGCTATACTTAATAATTAAACGTTTACAATTAAATAAAAATGGAAATAAGAAAATCAATAGTTTTTAATAATTTCTATATCCAACCAAGGGGTAAAATTTCGGGGGGTAAAATCCCGGGGGGTAAAAATTCGGGGGTAGAAATCCCGGGGGGGAAATCCGGCCCGTACATCTTCAGTTGTCTAAAAACGCTAGTTATATGGACAGGGGGTAAAATTCAGGTTTTTATATCTAATCAAATTAATCACACTCTCACTCTGTCTATTTTCATTAGACTTCCAAATCCGCGGGGGTAAAATTCCGCCCGCGAACAAACTTTTGAGCGCTCAGGTTGTTACTACGTCATAGTGACGTCAGCTTTGCCTTGGGGATGATAGAATTCCGGCGACCCTGATTAGGTACTGGGGGATTATGCGCTTTGAGACACACGAGAGATTTGGCTGTTCTCATGTTTCCGAGCTTTTTTGTCTGCAATCTGCGGCCAGCCAACAAAAAAAAACCCAAACCAAACCTCAATCAATCAGTCATTCAGTCAACAATCTCCATCTCGAGTATCTATCTAGCATTAGCATTCATTAGGCAACAAAATGGCAATCCCTTCCCTAGGAATCGGAATTCTAGGTTAATTTTGTAGGTTGTTGAAGTGAATATAAACACATAAAAATAACTTGATAACAGACTAGGTAATCATTCTTCTGTAATTTTTAAAGAAGTATGCCTGTTATCTTTAAAGTATATGTGACTACTTTAAGTGGCTATTCAAAGGTGTGAAGCAACTAGGCCCTAACCTAGCCGGAGTAGGCCTATTAACTTTGAAAACAGAACTGATGTTTTAGAAAATCTTCCAACAACAGACCTGAATTAATTGTAGGTAGCCTTAATTAATTTTTCTATCTGGAAAATGGTGTACTAGCCTACTTTAGGTATCCTATTGGTTGTATAGGTAATATGATTGACATAACTTAGGCCTAAGTAAGTTAAATTTTCATGGCTATGTTTACACTGGACTATTCAAATCTACAGTGGTGACAGGCAGCCTTGGTGAAAAGTATTGGGCCTGTGTCCTAAGCCAGTTACTTCTACTGTTGCTCGTCTGAGTTTACAAGAAAGGGCGCTTGGGGACCTAAGTTACACTTCCGTACTTATCTATTGTCAAAAACAACAGAATTAAGAACTATTTGATATATCGTTTGGTTGTTTAGGTTAGGTTAACCTAACTAACCAAACGATATAGCCTATTGAATGAAATAATCGATATAACGATCGATATTTTCATTCGGTTGTTTTTGACAACAGGAAGTCTACCCGGGCACTTATCCTAGGCCTAGGTCTAACTCAAGGAGCCCGTTTCTATGTAGGCCTAACTTAGACCTAATACAGTAGAATAACAAGACCCAACAAGTCACCCTTGATTATAAGGGTCATTTTTAAATCCCCTTGAAATTATTGTACCCCTCTACATGTTATTGCAAACCTCGATAAGAAGTCATCCTTGATAACAAGTCTTATTTAAATTCATTGTTAAGCCCCTGAGCTGTGGATATTATTGTAAGAATATATTACTTACGTCAATCAGCTCATTAAGTCGTGAGTTTCACCTCAGTTATCTATTATCTAATGTAAACTGAGGTGAAACTCACGACTTAATGAGCTGATTGACGTAAGTAATATATTCTTACAACAAGTCTTATTTTATAATTCCTATAAGAGTCTTGTTATCAAGGTTCTACTAGTTGCGAGTTCACATTAACTCAGTTGGTTAACTAAATTTAAACAAGCAAACTACAACAAGTTTACTTATTCATCATAAGTTTTAAACAACATGGGAATTTTATATTTTCATTTTTTTTTTTATTTTACCGTAGCTATTAGCGGTAGAAAAACACTTCAATATAGGCTGATAAAATATTTGTTTGTATAAGCTCTTCAAAATGGTTTAGAGAGGAATTGGGAAATTTTATTTAGGCCTAAGTTATTGCAGGGTTGCTTCAGCGGGGATATTAATTGTTTGTAAAAACAACAATGTGTTCGCAACAGTGCGAGATGCTCTTAATTTCATCATGATTGTGGGATACCTATGGTAACCATGTCTTCACAACCACGAGAGACAGTCATGATATGCCGCGATTACGTGAGGCGATGATGAAGTCTCTGTGACCATGGGAGAATGCCAACAAATTGCCTTGATCACAGGAGACACTAACGATTTCTTAGTGGTCATAGGGAGTGGTGGATTAATTTTTTGCGATCCCGGGAGGTGTTAAACATTTCTCGCGATGTCTGGGGATGATCTTGATAGGGCCACGATCACAGATTATTGTCATGATGATATGATATCTTGTCTTAATTCATTGAATTATTTTGTGACTAAAGACTTCTTAACGGCAGTTGGCTATTTTTTTAATTTATTTTTTTACTTAGACTAAGTAAGTTAGGTACGGTGTAGGCCTACCTAAATCCTTGAAATTTTGTTTTCAGTGTGGGAAGGGGCAGATGGCTAAGTTATGGGGGAGGTTAAGAATGGGGCAGCATGAAATAGGGGAGATTTGCGCTCCTGACCTAGGGAAATTTTAAGCACCTGTGGTCCTGGAATCTAGTGGCTTAGGAAATTTTCTTGAATAGGCCTAAATATAATAGTAGGCTATGTCGTTATGTTCTATCTTCAACATAGACTAGCCTATGTATTAAGTTCATCTAGAGATATTTTTAATTTTACAGGTAAAAATGACTTCAATAATTAAAGTTCATGTCCTATCCGGTGCTATGGATGAATCACCACCGTGTTACATTTTGCAAGTAGATGAATTTAGAATATTACTAGATTGTGGATGGGACGAAAATTTTGACCAGGATTTCATCAAAGAGTTAAAAAAGTAAGTTACACTAGTTAAAGAAAAAAAAAAATAGTAGTTTAGAAACATTGAATAAACAGTTCAATTTAGCCTAAGTTAATTTCCTCAAATTAGCTAATTTTGAAATGCATATTCGTTGCTGTCTTATGATCTCTTATGGACCATTCGCTAATATGAAATATCTTTCACAAGCCTTACACCACAGGAAAACTTGTCATCGAAATGATGATGATGCAGTGCTGCAAGCCTTATCAGGGATGCTGCTGTGCAGGGATGTTGCAGGGGGAACTGTGTATAAATGTGAGGTTCTGACCTTGCTATAAGCTCTAATGTTCTCTCATTTTTCTGTTATTGGGTTCTCTATAAGTTAACAGGATTTTTGACCAAAGCAAGGCCGGTGACTTAAAACCTACTGCATGCATTTTGTTTGAATAGACACTGACATGATGATAGGTGGATTCTAGAACAAGGTAACTTATAGTGACTAATAAAAAAAAGGCATTCCGTTCACTAGTCTTAAATATTTGAAGTCTGTTAAGGGCATTAAAACATACTATTTATAGCGGTTTAAGTTAATTACCATTTATTTTAGTCCCAGCTCAAAATAGTTCCATAGAATCTATAAACATGGGTTCAACGCCAGTTGGATCATGGTCAATAAAAGGTTAAATTACCTGTGTCCGCCGGTCGATCCTAATGTATCCTATTACAGGAGATGCATTTCGGCAAAATTAAATCATTATCATTGACATCATCAGTACTAATATAAGGTCTTGAGATTCCCCATTTAATTTTGCCGAAATGCATCTCCTGTAATAGGATACATTAGGATCAACCGGCGGACACAGGTAATTTATCCTTTTATTGATTGTCATACCGATACGGAACGACAACAAACAACATAAAATGAAGGAGGTCATGTCAAGAAATATCACATTGATGTAATAGTCGATCGCATTGACATTGTTAAACTCACATAAACACAAACACTGGAACTTGTACATAGTCCCAGTGTGTTTGTGTTTGAGATTGACGACGTCCAAACAACCTACTATGACAACAATGTGATACTTCTCTACGATCATGATCCAACTTTCGTTGAAACCGTGTTTGTAGATTCTATTCAACTATTTTGAGCTGGGATGAAAATAAAAAGGTAATTTAACCACTATAAATAATAAATATTTGTCTTAGGGCCTACCAGCTCAGGGGTAAACTATTACAATGAGTACATTGGAAAATAGCATAAAACAGTATTCACTTTACTTCCTGATAACTTTAAAATGCTGTTTGTGGTGGAAGAGCTTAAAGTTGGTAATATCTTGCATTTTTGTAAATGTTGAATGATTAAAATTTAAAATAAAGTGGAATTTTTCAGGCATGTGAACCAAATAGATGCCGTTTTGTTGTCCTATCCAGATCCCCTACATTTAGGGGCACTTCCTTACATAGTCGGCAAATGTGGACTCAGCTGTCCCATCTATGCAACAATTCCTGTTTATAAGATGGGACAAATGTTTATGTACGACTTGTATCAGGTATGTATTCAAATGTTTCCTTTGAAATGATCTTATATCAATTCAAGTAAAATGATAAGTAGGCCTATCATCCTTTGAAATTGTCTTTAGTTTTTTGTTGAAAATTTTGTAGACAGACTTATTCTTTCACTATCTACAACGAAATTATCCTCAGTTATCAGTCTCTTTATCAGTTATCTTCATCAAACTTTAACAATCTAAAAGACCATACGTTAGTGAAGTAGTGTAGTCCTGATAGATCATTTTTAATGTGTCTGAACAATGCTCAAGTGTAGGCTAATATGCAAATTGAGGATAGGCTGATAAGCTTTCGCACTCTTCAAAGTCTAAGATATGGTTGCATAATAACAACTGATCTTGAAATAATTCATTGCTAGTTTTGGTGTTGTTTCAGTCTCGACATGACATGGAAGAGTTTGATATGTTTACTTTGGATGATGTAGATGCAGCTTTTGACAAAATCGTCCAATTGAAATATAATCAGAGCGTAAATATGAAAGGTAAAAATTAAATATTTATATAAATATTTTTTTATCTGATCTACCAAATTTGTTACCTGCAAGTTCAGTTCAGCTTAGCATTTTGGTGTCACTTTACTTCTCCCAGTTAAAGTGTTAAAAATGTAAATAAATTTAAATCATCTCCAAAGATGTCTGAAATGAGATAAACTGGTTATTGCATGGCCTACAAAAGTATTATACCTTTAGCACAATAAATGGATGACAGAGATATATCTGCATAATGATTTTAGATTCTACAGACGGGAAGCAAAGAGCGGATAGAATTGGTACAGTGACAGGCTGGTTTGTGCTACTATATCGCTACTTTCCCGTGATATGCAAAAGTTTTTTGACCTTAAAATTGACACATCGCGCTTCCTGCGCTTAACACGTGAATTTATTTAACTGATTTTGTTTTTAAAACATAAGTAGGCCTATTGTTGAGATTTACAAACCTATGTAGGCCTAGATAGAAATGTTGTACAAAAAGCTCTAGAATTGAAGGTTGATTATTATTTAGTATATATTTTTTTTATTTCTGTGACATCAGTTACTACAGTTAAAAGGAAATCCTCCCTCTTATCAATGGTTTCTTTGCTCGTGCTTTTGAGCACTTTTGTATCTTATTGTTCTTTTTATTACTCATGAACCATGAAGGAAGTGCTTCACTGCTAATGTTTAAGATATGTTTTGTGATTATGGGTTTCAGTGGAAGGACATTTTAAACTATAATCCGTTTTCAAAATTCAGGGAATTTTAGTGGAAGGAATTTATCCGTTCCATGTCTTGATCCTACCTATTAAAACATAGCTCAACAACTGAGATTTGTCAAAAAGTCAATCAGCTGCAACATACATCAAGGAGAAAATACCCCCGCCGCAGCAAACCTGCAGACTAAGCGAATTTCCATTTGCCTGATTGGATTACACTAAAATGTCTCCTTAAAAATATCACATTTATTCCCTATTTAAATAACATTAGTTTAATAAGTACTTAGGTTTGCTGCAACAGGGAGGGTAAAAAGGGGTGTTTTTTTTGTAAAATGTTGATGGTTTAGTATAAAATGAATGCATTTTCCAAAGTTGATCAAAATATGTTCATAAACAAGCAAACTACAACAGTTTACTAGTTTACTTATTCTCCATTAGAATAACATGGGAATTTTAAATTTACAGTTTTTTGGAATTTTTTCCGTAATTTTTAGGCGCATAACCACGCTTCAATATACCAAATTATTTGGTTTTTTATTTTAAGCTCTACAAAATAGTTTGGAAAGAAAATGCTAAATTTCAAGTTTTTAGGATCAAAAATGGGAAAAACCAATTTTTACCCCATAAAACTCTCCATAAACCCCTGTTCCCATAGTCCAATCATGCTGGTTCACGAACTCGTTTGAATAAACGTAGGTTTACACGTTTGTACCAAATTTCATCAAAATAAAATGATTTTTGCTCGAGTTATCGCGCTAACAGACACGTATATAAATATATATATATATATATATATGAATTTGAACGGATGGTGTTTTTGGCCTCTAGGGACCTCAAAACGAAAAAGTAAATCGGTCCCGGATCCAGGTTTTACCATGAGTACTACGGTAATAGCTTATTCCCTATAGGAAAATTCGCTAAAAGTGGTAAGGGAACTTCCCCTCAATCTGCCAAAATTTTGTGAACAGATTATAGTCCAAGGTTTGCATTGTTTGGAACAACTTGTTGATAAATTTAGCCTGGGTATTTAAAATAGTTGGATAAGTTAAATTTGTTCTCTTTACCATTTATTTGTACGTGAAGTAAGTGAAGTGTATACTTCTGAAACTAAATGAGCTATTTTATCTTCTGCTAAAATTTTACTTTTAGTACCGGGAGACCGAGCCTTGCTTGTTTTGAACAGACACATTTGATCATTTACAAAAATAGTTTTAATACAAGCCAAACACATTTAATCGCTGAAATAATATCAACTGTGTCATGTGTGTCTAATTACACCTGTTCGATAGATCATAGCATTTAGATTAATTTGCAGTAGGCTAATGACTTGAGTAATAACATTTCGTTTTTAATACTAAACCACTGACATAACTGTATACTTATTTAAACTGAAATCTCATAGTTTTTGACGTTTTGAATAATGGGCAGTAATAATGAAATGCTATGGAATAGTGTGTTTAAGGCTGCCTGTAGGTTATGGGGAGTATAGGTCTATCCCCCTCACCTCGTGGATCAAACTGGATATTTCTTGCAACCCCATTTTCTACCTGCCTGATTTATGGATCAGTTTGGATGTTAAAGAACTACCCTCTGACCGTGGATCAGTTCGGACACGCGTCGTGTGCATTAATGCCACGTCAAACGTAAACAACGTGACAATAAAGTAATTTTTGTTTACACGGAAATCAAAATTATGACAGTAAAAATAATCTATATCAGCTGTTTTTCTTAACTTTAGACAAAAAGTTATTGACGATAACATGTGCCCCTTTCAAGGGCTGTAGGACAAAAACTGGTTTTTTCCCGGCCTTGTGACCAACTCAAATCGATTTATCGTGGCCAAATACCCCATATTAAAGAAAAAATCAAAAACCCATGGACAGAAAAAAAGTGTGCCCGTACATGCACTTGTTTTAGATTAATACTAGGGGACCGAGCATTGCTTGAGGTGTTTGATTTGTTCTAGAGGTAAAAAAATAAAACCTATAAGTTAAGCCTACAAGTATTTTCAGTTTTGCTACGATTAATTAAGTTGAAAAGTCAATTTGTTTTTAGTAGACATCCACTCATTCATAACTTACCTAACAAACTTTTTCATGTGGACAATCAATCTATAAAATTTCTATAATAAACTTCAATATAAAAACTCATGATACATAACATCTGTTGATCGTTGTTGCGTTAGTCACTGGGATCGCCGAACATCACAACTATTATCACGGGATTGTGGAATAACACATCTATCCGTCGGAAACTACAAACCACCTTGGCCTTTCCTTTACACTTTAGTTCAATATTAATGTATAATGTTTTGCAGTAAAACCCTTGACGTTTTTGAACAGTCATAATTATCCCTTTGGTTAGTAATACATCATACAATCCAAATGTATTATATAATCAATGCTCAATTGCATTTATAGAAATGTACCTACTAGGGATGGACGGGATTGAATTTTTAGTTCGGGACGGGATTTTCATTTCCTTCCCAATTTTCGGGACGGGACGGGACGGGATTTTTTCTGTGCATAAAAAGAAAGTCTTGAGTATTGCAGTTACCAAAAAAATACATACAAAATCAATTTTTACCGTTTGTGGTACTGATCTATAAAAACCAAAGAATGGGTAACAATATACAGGTACCTATAGAAACTTGTGACTCGCGGTCACGGTGCGATCGTCAAAATGACCGCGGTCACGGGGTAATCGTCGGTATGACTCGCGGTCACGGGATGATCGTCGGTATGACTCGCGGTCACGGCGCGATCGTCGGCATGACTCCGCGGCCACGGCGCGATCGTCGGTAGGACTCCGCGGTCACAGCGTGATCGTCGGTAGGACTCCGCGGTCACGGTGCGTCGAAATGACTTCGTCTCCTGCGTTCGCGGACCTATCGCTCGCAATAGCGGCGTCATCGGCACTCGCGAAGTGGCAAAATCGCCGACGATCGGACCAAATCCCGTCCCGAAAAATTCCCGAATCAAATGTAATCCCGTCCCGATAATCGGGAATATTTTTTTCCCGAAATGTTCCCGAAATTTCGGGACCCGTCCATCCCTAGTACCTACTTTTCCTTTGTATGGTACTGTATTTTGTAATTTGCTACTGTACTATGGATTATTTGTTACAAGCATGCATATGTTACAATCCATGTGTTTACATTTTCATAAAACTGTCATAGCTACTTGACAGTCCATAAGACTAATGTTAAAAATATTAAAATTTCATTTTAAATTTTTAATGAAAAGCAAATTTTTATCAGAACAGAGCCTGGCATGAATATTGTTTTAGCCATAAAACTGGGATATTTCTAACAATTTCGAGGAAATCATAGGAGTCGTTTTTAAATCATTGTGCGTAAGGCAAACTTTACTCATATTATAGTATAGATAGATAGGATAGGATAGGATTATTAGTTGTTTTTTTAGCTTGTCTGAAGTAATTCAATGGTTGAAAGACATGAGTTACTTATTGGCTAGCTGTATTTTCCTTCTCTTATTTGTGCACTTAAATATGTACATAACAGCTAATTAGGGTGTCAAATTCCTAAAACTCATGCAATATTTCAAATGAAAACCCTTTGTTAATAATTTGTTGATTTTTCAGGAAAAGGTTACGGTATAACAATAACACCATTACCAGCTGGTCACATGATAGGAGGTACAATGTGGAAAATAGTCAAAGTAGGAGAAGAGGACATTATCTATGCTGTTGATTTCAATCACAAAAAAGAACGACACTTAAATGGATGTGAACTGGAACGTCTTCAAAGGCCGTCCTTGCTCATTACAGATGCATTCAACGCCACTTACCAGCAAGCTCGTCGGAGGGCTAGGGATGAGAAACTTATGAGTGCGTTCACCAACTTAACATAATTACATGTTTTAGCATTTTATTTTAAAGTTAATTATTTTACTTTGTTTGGACATGTTTTTCTGTTTTTTCCATAACTATCACATTTTTGCCGAATCTTTACATTTATTTTAATTTTAACTGTACTTAGGGTTGAATTTGAAAATGGCAGACTGATGCTTTTCAAGATTTGAAGTGAAAAGGCTGTCATGTCTGTTGAGAGCTCTGATTCGCACGAGGAAATGTAGATAATTTCAGATTAATGTGGCAACCTATTATTTGTACAGGCCTGCATTATAATTATATTGAAACAAAATCAAGTTAATAGGGGCTGCAGTTAGCGGAACAAAATGTTGGTTGCTTTTAATGCTGTAGCTTGAAGTAAAAATATTATTTATATACATACAGAGTCAAATTATTTTGTTAAGAACTCTTAATCATGATTTATTGAGAAGACCTTAATATGGATTAGTTAGTCATCGACGTATTTGATAACTAATGGTAAAACAAATTGTCGGCAAACTTGTATCAGTTGGTGTTTTGTTGCAGCCAACATTCTGCAGACTCTGCGTAACAACGGGAATGTACTTGTCGCTGTGGACACAGCTGGTAGAGTGTTGGAGCTCGCACACATGCTGGACCAGCTGTGGCGCAACAAGGAGTCTGGTCTACTAGCTTACTCCCTAGCACTGCTCAACAATGTCAGCTACAATGTTGTCGAGTTTGCCAAGTCCCAGGTAAAATCAACAACAGAATTTTTAAGGTTATTTTATGCATCTGTTATTTAAAAACTTGTCAGCTTTGTAAAAGAGGCAAGCAAGAAGTACTTTCACTGAGTTATAAAACTCTCCTATTGTATCTTGTTGTTTTGCCTGATACAAAATAGTAGGTATAGTTAACATTGTTCAATGGTAATTTTTAGGCTTAATTGCATTGTCTGCCATCTCATATAAGCTTCATACATATTTTGTGAAATTTTGTAAAATTATGTATATAATATATATTGTAAATACCCCCGCCGCAGCAAACCTGCAGACTAAGCGAATTTCCATTTGCCTGATTGGATTTACACTAAAATCTCTCCTTAAAAATATCACATTTATTCCCTATTTAAATAGAATCAGTTTAACACATACTTAGGTTTGCTGCAACAGGGAGGGTAAAAGTGTTTTTTATGTAAAATGTTAATAGTTAGTAAGAAATAAAAACATTTTCCAAATTTGGGCAAAATATGTTAATAAACAAGCAAACTACAACAGTTTACTTATTCTCCGTAAGATTAACATGGGAATTTTAAATTAAAAATTTTTTGGAATTTTCTCCGTAACCATTAGGCGCATTATAACGCTTCAATATACTAAATTATTTGTTTTTTTAAGCTCTACAAAATAGTTTGGAAAGAAATTGCAAAATTTTATGTTTTATTGGTCAAAAATTGGAAAAACCCATTTTTACCCCATAAAAGCCCCCATAAACCCCCGTTCCCATGGTTCGATCATGCTGGTTCGCGAACTCGTTCGAATAAACGTAGGTTTACACGTTTGTACCAAATTTCATCAAAATCGGATCATTTTTGCTCGAGTTATCGCGCTAACGGACACATATATATATATATAAATATATATATAAATATATATATATATATATATATATGAATTTGAACGGATGGTGTTTTTGGCCTCTAGGGACCTCAAAACGAAAAAAAAAATTGGTCCTGGGTCCAGGTCTTACCATGAGTACTACGGTAATAGCTTATTCCCTATATGGGAAATTCGCTAAAAGGTGTTGTCCGTTGAAATGAATAAATATCAAATACTATAGGACATGATTTTTATTTCACATGAGCTAATAAATAAAAGATCATTCATTCGCCATGAATCAGAGGATAAAAATGATGAGAGTACATAATCAGTTTATTTAAACTTAAACATATTTTGTGATTTTGCACATTTTTTATAAAAAAGAAATACTTTAGGTACATGAATCAGGTCCTACACAACCAAACAATTTTTATTTTAAAATTTAAAGGTACACAACTCACAGTCAAATAAATCAGCTCTCTAAAACCTCTCAAAGTAGTGTTTGAAAGTTGGCCATGATTCTAGAGTGATGTGAGAGAAAGAGACGTAGGAATTGGCTAACTCAGGAACTCGCTAACTCGGTCGTGTGTCGGAACTGGCTAACTCTGGAACTGGCTAACCGTCTCAGTCAGGAATTGGCTAACTCCGGAACCCGCTAACTCGATTTTGTCTCCCGGCGGAATTCGCTAACTCTGGAAGTCGCTAACCCGGCCGCGCCCACTGCACGTAGCGTTGCCAACCTTGTACCTCAAAATAATCGTACACTGCCGTATTTCAAAATGTCAGTGTCAATGAAGATACAGTAAATGTTATTGTTTTTTGTTATCAATTCCACTTTTAACAGATAACTAGCCCAAAGTAATTCAAATACAATAAAAAATCAAGAAAAAGTGTTTTTCTTTATTTAACTGTACAATGGCCAGTTAAATGTTTATGATTTCGATCTTAAGTATAAATGCCATCAAGAAAATAATAGAATTTGAAAAATATTGAAAATTCAGTTTAATTGGTACTCAATAATTAAACCTCTACGAAATTAAGCTAAAATACACGTAAGTTCTCAAACACGGAAAACAGATTTAATCGTAATGGCGTAATAAACCAAAACCATTAATTAATACAGTCATCAACCATCGTAACTTTCATAACTAGTTCATAGATTTTAAATTAAATGTTCGTCGTTGAACCGTCCAACTTACGTGTACAAATATGATGACATAGACTAAGTTTTTATCCAGGCCTAATAGTTTTAACCAAAGCATTGTTTGCCTACTAGTAAATAGTTGCCTAATTCTAAAATGTGTTGAATTTTTTTAGCAATAATGTTACATGTTTCAACCCCGTTTTTAGATTTTACACCTAAGCACCACTAGTAAAAATAGGAGAAGATATAATATTCATATAATAAAACGTGACAGGGTTATTTTAATTCACGATTCTTAATAAACGAATTGACGGATTTTCTCGATTTGAGTGTTGGGTTTCCTTTATATTGCTTTCACAATCGATATAAACTACAGTATACCAAGCCATTGCTCGGTTCACCGTTACCCGGTACTGAGCTTCACAATAGACAATAGCTTTGTTTTGGATAAGATCAAATATTTTAACTATAGCCACCATTCATAAGAATTGTAACAAACAAGAACGCCTGGGTCCATTTAGAACCAGCCTGGAGAAAAACTCCAGACTTTAAAAAAGTATAGGCCTACTGAAACTGAAAGACGTAAAATTAATATTAACTAGTGTACATGTTGCTCGAAATCGAGCAATTGCAAAGAAGTACAGGAGTTATTTATAAACAAATAACTTGTTTCAAAACTAATAACAGTCATAATTTCCGATGATTTTAAAAGAGTCAACTAAAAGGTTATTAACTAATGGAAATACTCACAATTTACATGACAGTCCTGTTCCAGTTTAAAGGGTTAATTTTTAACAATCAAACTGCCCATGGACGGGAAAAGGTAAGCTTACAATTTAAGTCAACGTAAAAAGGCTGTCAGCTTTTATAAAGTACCGTACCTAAGTTATTTAGCCAATTTGTAGACAATAAGGTGTAGGCTACTTTAAACTCTACAGGACAGAGTTAGGCCAAAACTGGCAGAACTCAGAAATGGTGTTATTTATCATAGGCTTACTCATATGCCAAATCCTTAAAATAAAAAATTCAATAACTAATAACTTATATAATTCACAAACCAACATTCAAGAATATACACATTTTTAATACAACATAGATATTACACATTGACTGTTTACAATTAACATGTTCTTCTTCCCACTATTAATTTTTGCTTCGTGGCGGAAAAATCTGTTTCATAATGATCGAAATAGATTTATAATAATTAATCCATCATAAAGTTTAAGATTAAATAAACCTACCACATAGTTGTAAATTTGTTTTGGATCAGCTGTCTGAAATTGTAAAATAGGCATTTTTGCTAGTTCTGGTTGTTTACATTTAAATGTCAAAGAAAATGTAAACATTTGAATTTTCTCATGCTTCCATAGAGACCAATTATTAATGTTTAATTTCAGACAACAGCTGGAGTTTCTAAACAATGTTTGTTTCCCATGTTAATCTTATGGTGTAGGCTACTTTAAACTCTACAGGACAGAGTTAGGCCAAAACTGGCAGAACTCAGAAATGGTGTTATTTATCATAGGCTTACTCATATGCCAAATCCTTAAAATAAAAAATTCAATAACTAATAACTTATATAATTCACAAACCAACATTCAAGAATATACACATTTTTAATACAACATAGATATTACACATTGACTGTTTACAATTAACATGTTCTTCTTCCCACTATTAATTTTTGCTTCGTGGCGGAAAAATCTGTTTCATAATGATCGAAATAGATTTATAATAATTAATCCATCATAAAGTTTAAGATTAAATAAACCTACCACATAGTTGTAAATTTGTTTTGGATCAGCTGTCTGAAATTGTAAAATAGGCATTTTTGCTAGTTCTGGTTGTTTACATTTAAATGTCAGAGAAAATGTAAACATTTGAATTTTCTCATGCTTCCATAGAGACCAATTATTAATGTTTAATTTCAGACAACAGCTGGAGTTTCTAAACAATGTTTGTTTCCCATGTTAATCTTATGGAGAAATACGAAACTTTAAAGGGCCCCAGGGCCTCACTCTCTAATTATTTCCATAAAAAGAAAGTTTCCTGCACAACTTCACGTTACGCTCTTTCCAATGACACCAAAAACATGTCAATCGGTTCAGTAGCTTCGGAGGAGTAGTTGTCACAAAAATCCTGCTTGCGTATTAAATAAGTAATAGATTCAAAACAATTAAGAGGATGACCCCGGGTCTACACTAATAGCCTACGATAAAAGAAATTTACAAGTTGTATTTATGCATGGACTAATTTTTAATGCAATCCATGAATACATTACCACTTTATAATGTATCGATACATTTTATTTAAATTCAATAGCTCTATTTAAAAATACATTACCACTACAATGTAATTCTGTTATGACGTTTAGCGTGTAAATTGTACTAGGAGTACAATGCAGTTGTCTGCTTGCAATATTGAGCGGAGCAAGCACATTAATCAATAATTTTGAAAAATGTAACGACAAATTTATTGTTTACGTCATAACTAGTTTTAATTTAATATATTAAGTTTTAATAATTATTAGTTACTAAAAAATTGTCTAAACAGTACAAAAAAGCATTTATTTACATAATACAAGTTAAGAAAACATTCACACAGTTAAAAATACATGAACTCAAATCAAATCAAATCAATTTATAGGAATTTTGCAGAGTAATAAGTAATAATGAAATAATAAGAATAATAGTAGTGTTCATTGCTGTATAAGTGAACGCAGACGTGCCAGTTCTCTACGTTTAGTTTCCCAACCCGCATTATTGTTGATACACTTGAGAAGGCGGTCTTGAGAAAAGCCTGGTTCAATTATAAGTCCTTCGATGGACCGAACCCGTGACATTGCAACATACGTAAGACCCAGGGCAAACTCTGTCGTACCAATGTCAACTACTGCTTTGTCAACTGTCATTCCCTGAGCCTTATGGACAGTAATACCATAGGCAACTTGCAAGGGAAACTGTCTTCTTGTACAGGACACGTTGTTTTTTCGGTATCCAACAGTGAGTGGTAA